AGGTTTCGGTGTTATTTTATATTATGTTTTCGATGATTTACCAGCGATACAAGAACGAAAACCCTTTGAAACTTTAAATAAATTACCGATATTTTTTGGCACCGTATTATTCGCCTTAGAAGCCATTGGTGTGGTAAGTGAATAAAATTTGCACAGTTACACTCTATACTCTATTCTGTAATATATATATAAATATATATTTTCATGCTCTGTAATATGGATTGGGCGCGGCTGAGTTCTTCTATTTACAAACTATAAGTTTTTATCGCATAATCGTGAGGGCGTTATAGGCGTGTTCTTGGGAAAGTTTAAATCCCTTTCAAATTCTTTTACAAATTTGTAGGCGATATCTTCATTTTCACTAACGCTAGAATAGTTACCATAGATACAGCACAGGTGAGCAGACCGACAGATGGACAGGCGAATAGGCGGACATAAATAGTTGTATTTTAAATTTGTAACTGGATAAGAATTTACATACTTTACGAGATTTTTGAAGCTTGTTACTTATCTGCTTATAAAGGTATTGAAAAAAAAATTAAATTTTGATTCACCATAATATTGGGTAGGCGTGGTAAATTTTTCCCATTTTTGTACAGGCACTACTCATGGAATATGCGTTGAAATTTTGTACATTTATCTGCAATAGTTTTTGAGTAACGATCAAAAAACCAATTTTTTATTCCTTTTGACAAGCTAAGGTATTCTCGCTTTACGTAGTACCACAGGCATATCTTCCGAATGATTTGGCGTATTTTCAATATCAATCTGTGTGCAAGAACTTGCAATGTGTCTGCCAAATTTGAAGTCGATAGCTTCACTTTTGCGGCCAGGAGAATGGTTACAACAAACGTTATCACAGACGGACATGCTTAAATCGACTTAGTATTTGATGTTGATCAAGAACACAAATACTTTGTGGCGTCTTTGAAGCTATCTGTTTGCGTTGCAAACGTTTTGACGAAATCAATAAACCCGCCCAATCAAAAAAGCTAAGCAAAGTTTCGAGGGATAATAAAGGGGATCTGCAGAATTCTGGCTTAGTAGCGTTAACTACTAACATTCATATCGAATTTTAAAAGAGAATTATTTTCTTTTATTTATTAAGATTTTGGCTATAGAGGAAAATATGGAAAAACCTAAAGCTTTCGTAAAGCCATGTGGCACTTTGAATTTGGGTATGTTAATAGTCCTGGGTCTTTACATTGCAATAGGCTTTTTCGGTTATTTGAAGTACGGCGATAAAGCCTTGGGCAGTATTACGTTAAATTTACCACAGAAATCTATGTAAGTGTAAAAAAAGCATATATTATATAAATGTTTATGTCACTTTAATTTTTTCTATTTTTCGTGGTTTGTTTTGCAGTTTAGCTCAAGGTATAAAAATATTCTTTGCTATAACAATATGGATCTCATACGCTTTACAGGGTTATGTAACCGCCAACATAGTATGGAATAAATATTTAGCGAAACGTGTAAAGGATACTGGGAAGCATGTGCTCTTTGAATTACTTGTACGCTGTGCTATCGTTTTGCTCACATGTAAGTGGTGGTTTTATCCTTTCGTACGTCAAAGTGTGAGAATCCTCTACGTTTATTACTGTCGTAGCATAAATGATATGCACATATAGTATGTGTACAGAGTTTTGAAAACATTTAGTTAACATTATCTGTCCGTCCGTCCGTTCTTTCATCCGTTCTTCCGGTATCGTATTTCTTGAGATTATACAAACTAAAGCAAAAAGTATTCTGCCGCTCTATTCAAGCAATTATCTTTGAAGGTAAATCAAATCGATTTATAAATAAACTAAGCATACAAAGTCTTGTTGTCAATAAATTAATATGATCTATACTGGATAATCGTTTAGAATTTAAAACATTTGATAGGTCTCTCCGTTTGTTTACTTGCTTACGATACGATATTCAAGATTTCTTTGAATGTCATTAAAGCCTCCTTTGCTTTTTTTTTCTTTTCTTATTTGCGTATTATACTTAAGATCAGATAAAAAGAATTTACTACATTTCTCAACTATTCTTACACTATTTAAGTGTACGTCATAGGCCTAGTTATCCATCAGGTTGTGCTGTTTACCTATTAATTTGGTTATCGGCCTATTGCTTATATAGAGATTATTGTTACTAGTTACCGCGACCGTTTCAACATTTAACACGTTCGCTGGCAAGCTGCTTGTGAGTGAAGACATGGGCGTTTTTCGGTACACGCTCTTTCTCTCTCTCATTCTTTTTTGCGCTTATGAGAGAAAATATATATTTTGTGTAATTATAAATATTCAAATCACAAAATGTTTTATATAATCAAAAAAAAAAATTAAAATTAATTAATTAAAATTAATTAAATTAACAAAATTAATTTAATTTAATTTTTAATTAATTATCAGATTCTGGTATTTTAATTTTAAAAATTGAGTTTGACGTAAAAACGCGTTGTAGCATTTACCGAGAATGGCATACCGACGACAAGGAACGTGTTAAAGTTGTACGGATTGGCTCGCGAAGTTGGTTTACGTTGTTGCAAAATGTGGTTTGAAAAGATGAAATTTGTTATGAACATTTTTGGTTTGCAAGAAGTAATCAAACTTTCGATACATCATTTTTACTATTTTGCTCATATTATATAATATAACAAAAGAATTAAGAGTGTAAGGATAAAGTGTTTAGACTGCAAATTTAATAAAATATATATTTATATTATTTCTTCTTCTATGCTTTCCATTAATAACAACAACAACAATAATAAAATTAATTGTTCGGGATAATAGTTGCATTCGCGATTGCTTTACCGGATTTATCGCTGTTCCTGTCACTTGTGGGTGCATTTTGCCTATCAATATTGGGTTTGATTTTTCCCGCTTTACTACAGATTTGCGTTCAATATCGTACCGGCTATGGCAAATGGAAATTTAGATTAGCGAAAAATCTATTACTAATAATATTTGGTGCTGTCGGCGGCATGATGGGCACTTACGTTAGTATAATGGAAATCGTCCGGGCTTATACAAAGTATACTTAAACATCAATGAGCATCGTAGAATGAAAAGAGGCAAAAAGAAAAGGAAACCTCGCAGTACGTCATATGTATTGAATAAAGTTTAAATTATATTATTTAATATTTATATAATATGAAATGAAATGCTCGAGTAAATTATTTAAACTTAAAAATTGCTTAATTAAACTTTTTACTTATTAATAAAACAAGAAGAAAAAAAAAAAAAAGTTTAATAATTCCCGGCAATCTACTCTTTTCAAGGTATCAATTTATTTTTTTATTCTTTCGTCAAATGTGCCTTCAAACGCATGCTTTCGCTTTTCATCATTATAATAAGGCTTAATACTGCTTTTAATTTGAAATTGATTACAATTTCAATTGCCATCATCGATGGCAGCATCATCATCATTATCATCCTTATAGTTTTCAATAAACACTTTTACATACGTATATATATATATATATACATATAATATGTATACATAAGCCTATTTACATATATGTGCATGCGTCTGTTAGCTGTTGGTCTTTATTGATTTGGTATTTTAATCTTTATCACAACTGGATTGTAATGCATTCAATGAAAACTATTCCTTAATAGATTTCAGTAAGCTACACGGAAAGGAGAGAACAAATATATTGAGTTTATAGCAAATTGCATTTATTGAGTTTTTTTAATAAGAGATAGGGTAAAAATTCGAGGAATTTCACCCAACAGATGGCTTTAGAGTCGCTTAGCCTTAGCAATCCTTCAATTAATCCTTTCCAGTCGTGCTGTCAGACGCTTGAAAAGTGATATCGCTGTAATATCATTTCTTTTTTTTTTTAACCTATTACGTACATTTATTTGCAATTGACTTTATAATAATGACTTTACATATATATTACTTTTAGTCTACGCGGAGAACGAACCTTATAATTTGTATACATATATGTTTTGAAGTAGAACAATATCTACGTTTCGTGTCTTCACTATTGTCCAGTAAGGTAGCGAAAACTCAATTTGGCAACTCCTTCTTTTACTATAGCTATGCCAAGATCTTTACCAATAGGTTTGTTCGCCACAAGCCATAGGGCTCAAGTGATGAATCTTAGCGGTTTAGATTGCTAGCCCAAAGAATTTCAATGTTGGACTCGCTCGCAGCCATATGTCCAAATGCGTTTCAGAGTAGCTGTGTGCAACAGCAATTTATTTTCAAAACGTAATTTTAATTTTTGACTAATCAGTGAACTCACACGTTTTTTTGTATTTTCAAATGCTTTTTTTTTTTGCCCTTATGTGATTTTTCCAAGTCAGTTTTCCATTCAGATGCACGCGCGTACGTGCTTAGTGCACTTCTATTCAGGAATTTGAATGCCGCTGGAGAGAAATCGACTTTTTTTTTTAAAGTAAATTTGATGTGCATAAATTTTACAGCACTCAAGCATATGTGCCATCTCTGCCCAAATAGATAAATAAAATGAAAAACATTGTAAACTTTGTTCAGTCAGCCGAAAGTAATTGCATTTCGAAAATAAGTTAACGTACTTTAAAAAAAAAAAATTCGCTTATTTTCCAATATTACTTTGATGTTGTGAAATAAATAGAAATTTCGAGCCATCTACTGTTATAGTCCGTCCCTTTCTCGATCTGCCCTCCGCGGAAATCTCTTAAAAAAATTATTGCAAATATCACTTGAATCAATTGTTCGTCCAGAAATCGCAGACGATCTATAATGATTCAATAGTAATTTTATTAGAAAAACATCGAAAACTTATCCACTAAAGTGAAACACATTTGCTTTAAGAAAATTCGTTTAAAATATACGAAAAACAACTCAATGGTCGCGGATTCAAATCTCACTGGCAAGCGTATGATCTAAGTTATTTGCTACCCTTTAAATCCATCCTTTGTAAATTTATTTACAATAAATAAATAAAAATATACGTAAAAAATGTTGAAAGAACGCCTCGAAGTTTTTCTCTTACACTTAATACTTTATACCAGCCAATGCTCTGTACAGTTTAAGTGATGCGAGGCACGTAAGGCACTACAGTTAGTTGCATTTGCATTGCATTTCTCTTGTTTCGTAAGATGGATAGATTTTCTGCTTAAATCATTTAAGTAGACCGATCGCTTTTATGGTTTGTATGCTTTTTTATTCCCACTTTTGTTCTTATCGGAGATCCGGAATTCCGGTAGAGGCGTCAATGATCGACAGGTCATATATTATTTTAGAGCGGTTGCTCGCTTCCTTTGTCTGCTGACTTGCTTTCTATGTTTGTCTGCCGGTTGACTGATCTGTCAGTCCTTCTCTCTATCAATTAGAAGATTAAGCAGTGCGTTTTGATTAGTTGAATATTTCTTGTCGACTGCGTCACTCACTTACTTAACCTAATTGTTAAAAATTTCTCTTAATTGAACGAAGTGCTTAAAATCTTGCCTACATTGCAGAGACCAATTATAGTCATTTCCTTCTAAAGATGATTGCGTTCGGGTATGACACTGTTATGCTCAATTGTTTAGTTTTTTTATGTTTGTGTTCATTTATGTAACAATACTGCGATTTTTTCCTTTGCTTTTTTTTTTTTTTTTTTTGGTACTTTTTTGTATACAGGTTTTTCTTTGTTTTAAATGCTTGTCTTTCTAATATGTGAATAAATAGATGAATAAACCGTTATATCAAGTAATCAAAGTTCACCTTTACTTAAACAATCCAATCCATCCACAACATGTTTACCACATTTATTTATTTTTTTTTTTTGTGGATTCTGGTGAGCTACACAAAAATCACGCATCTGCTCAAATCAATTGCATCTTTTTCTTTTTTGGTTAACTGTCTACGATTAATTTTTCTGGGAATGTCTCGTGCAAATCTTTACCGGAGAAGACTTACGTAATCTTCGAGAGAATATCAAACGCATTAATATTAAGCGAAAAGCACATTAATTATTAGGACAGGTTTGTAGATTTACACTTCCTATCGCGGGAATTGTAGCTGCATTAAAATTTGTTTTATTGAGTGCTTTGTCTATTAGCTGAGTTGATTCGAAAGAATGCACAAGAAGTTAAAAGCGAAGCTAGATTTTGCGGATCCTAAGGAAAATAATAGAGCATTAGATAAAGTAATTAAGGTTAAGTAAAAGCCCTGTTGAGTTGCAATGCAATAATACAAATATTGAGAATATTGCTACCAGAGAATATTGCTGCCATATTTATGCATTTTATAAACTCGAATAAGTAAACAAATCTATCCAAATAGATAGAAACTTTGAATTTGAAATTCATTTTTAATTAAACGTAATTTTCTCTTTACTTTTTTATTATGCTTAACACGCTTGTGTCGTTAAAAGACATTTTAAATAATGTTTGTGCACGAACTGGAAAAATTGTATATCATATGAAGCATGTATCCCCAATAATAGACGAACTGCACTTTGCACTTGATTCTCAACATCACTTAAGAATAAGTGCAAGAATACTATTCACAAACATGTATAAAATCCCAAATGCGATTAACTTACATTATAAAGAGCTTGAGAAAGGCACTTTAACTTATGTAATGATCATTGTTCGACTTTATACGAAAATCTAAAGGTACATATATAAGCAAGCAGGCGTTTGTTGAAGTAATTGGAACTTTGGTTTAATATTTTACTTATTTTGAAAAACTATCATTATTAGATTACGAATGCAAGGATAGTCTTGCAAGACGCTCGAGGAGAGACATTATGACTACTTCGACTGGCTGCTGTTTTCGCTAATCGTGTTATACTAGATTGAATAATATATGCTTCCCTTTTAAGTTTTCTGCTTTAAAAATAGAGTTTAATTTGTTTAATTGCTAAAAACAGTGCAACAAACTTACGGCAAACCAGGTATCGGGGTCAAAGATGTACGAATGGCAACAAGCTGTTGACAGTAGTACGAGAAGTGATAGTTGATTTACCTCCTTCTTATCGACTTTTTAATGTTCGAAAAGCATTCTACGAGTCTTAGACAGTTCCTGAAGAGGTGAAAGGAAATCTTTAAGTTCTTTTATAACATTCCGGTTGACACGTACTTAGTCATGAAGTCATTAGTTTGCAATGGGTTTTTCGGATCGAATTTGGATCGAATAAATGCCTTATTTATCTAATATGCTTGCGAGTTTCTTTTTTCGAATTGAATACGGTTGGAGAGTTCAAGGCCATGTCATTTTACGAAAGATACAAACTTGTGTTTGTAGCCGAGTAGGTAAGACTTACGCCCACCAAGTCCATCTCTTTCTATTTCCTCACTTCTTTTCGACCGTCACTGAAACTAGATGGATAGGGGACATCCTCTGAATGGGAAAAAAAAAGAAAGAGATGATACGTTTGTATTATAAGTGATAAGGGGTACTTTAAAGACGATAAAATGCGTTTTAGTGATTACCTAATATAGTTTTTCTAAACACTCTTTAAATAAGACGTGATTAGGAAATTTTGCATATATATATTTCAGATGGTTATATAAGGGAGTTACACCTCTTACAACATCTTTATATAGTTAATCCTCCTGACTACTTGCATTCTAAGGGGACCAACTAATTTGTTTTCTTTCTCGTACATTCTATCGCTGGTGATCGAAGGCATATTAAGTTTACGCGATTGTATCGAATCATTTTTTGGATCAATGTCCGTTTGTCTGCCTTCAATATTTTTTTTAATTGAGTACGTAATATGAATTTCTTGTTAAGGTCAAGCTGTTTTGTATGACAAGCATGTTAATGTATCGGTCAGTAATTTTGTAGAATGACAAAGAGGTGTTCAATCGTTCAATTTCTGAAGAACTTTCAAATTAAATATGTCAAAATTCGAAGATGTTCAAACGACTAGTTTGCAAGTTACATTTGTTTAAGTGACGCTACTTTTTTGATTGCTTTGAAACACTTTTGCTGGTTGTTGTGCACTTAGCATCCACTTGGCATGCATTGTCACACATCGTATGCAAAAATCCTTTTTACTTCGCCTAAACAGCATTCAACAGGGTTACGTATCACCGCCGCATTGTTGCCGAAAGTGGGCAGACGCAGCACCGATTTCGATCAGACCTTCTCATGGCATCAAAGCTTCATGCAAAATAGTGAATAGACTGCTTTCTGA